ATTTTTTTGTAAGCAAAAGGACTCCGCCCCCACGAGTGTGCCCCGTATCTACGGGGTCCCTATCACATCTGTGCACGTCATATCTGTTGTCAGAAATTTCTGAATCACTTATTTGTGGAATAAGCCAACTCTCCACTACACAAACTATGTCGTAATCGTGGAGAAGCAAATTATATGAGAATTCAAATGGTTTACCTCTTAAACTACGGGAGTTTTGAAAATAAACTTTTAAGTTATTCTTCTCGCCTTTTAAGTACAAATATTTCATAATTCAATTTATAAAAAATCGTACAAAAATGTTTGCAAGTATGTAAAGAGGCACTTAGAGAGAGACACTTTAAAGACTCGTTAACGCATAAAGGTAGGTTATTTTGTAGTAAGTGAATGTGTTCATGTATAGTGTTATTAGTGTGTAAGTGGATAAAATTGTGTTTGTAAAGAGTATTATATTTTATTGAACATTTATAGATTTTGCTTCTGTATTTAGCTTCTCTAACTGCTTCATATTTCGAATATTCATTGCAGCGCAATTGTCTGTTTTTGCGAATAAATATTTTCCCATTTCTTGTCCAAACATATAAAAACCCCAAGGATTTACATTTGACTCGTGTGTGCTTCAAGAGTAGTTTGTTTTGAGGAGTAAGGTGCTCATTAACATATATAGATTGAGTATTGCCATCAAAACCGATTTCTGCTGGTGTAAGACCTTTTTTTTCTGCGTATGGAGCTAAGAATTTTGTTTCTTGTTTCAAAAATTTGACAACAGTGGGTTTTGGTAGATTAGAATCTATCAAGCGGGTCGTAATTCTTGTTGCAAATTCAATGTCTTCATTATTGATGTTGTAACTCGCACCCCCCCCTTTTATTGCGTATATATAATTATTATTTATATATATTTTTGCCCCGTTATATGAATAAATCATATAACATCATTACGTGACCAGGATAAATTATTGATCTTTCTATAGGATCTTTCTAAAGCCGTATAAATTATTATTGTGATCGTCATATTCGGTAGGACCTCATTTACGTTGTGTTTATTTAGTAACTTGATTCTTTTAGGTGGATCTTGGATAGATAAATATTCACTAGTTGTGGTATAAGCCAGAGATAATGCTAGATTGCTTTCTTATTAACTAATCCCGACTCGCTTGAGACGGGCTCAGAGTATATAGTATACTCCCTCTCACGCTTGTAAAGGGCTCACAATATAATTTTTAAACTAATATCCCTTCTCTCTTGAAAAAGGCTCACATCAATTTCACATACCCGATACAAGTCTACGGCTCCCCCACATTTTAAAAAAATGTAGGGAAGGCACACGGCTCCATGAAAACACTCACCAACGCCGTGTGCGGTGAGCGCCAACCAACATATTGCGCCCCCCCCCCCCCCCCCCCCCAGAAGAGGGTAAAAAAGTTGGGGAAAGGACCGAAGTCCATTGCAAAGCTGTTTTACCAGCATAAAGGGGGCTTGGCCCCTTGGCAGTGCGTAAGCACAAACTTTGACCGAAGTCGCGCATGTCAATGCGTGTAACGTCATACAAGCCGACGACAAATCCAGTCTTCGTGAATGTACGTCAATACGGTTTTGGGCCTGTGTTAAAAATCAGGCACTCTGGCCCTATGATATAATAAGCCCTCCGTAAGCGCCACCACTTTTGCCAGATCGCCGCGACTGCAGACGTGATTGTTAGTGTTTTGGCATCACTACCATTAAAAAGGTTAGCACGACATTTCGTCGCAGAGCGCGTAGCCCCAAGGGTATGGTTAAAACGTTGCACGGCATCGCCGCAGCCTTGAGAGGTTTTCTCCCGCCAGCTACCATCCACATGAGGTAAACGCATATGCTCCACCAACCATTGAAATAGTCAGATATAACCATAGTTGTGATTTTTATGTTTAGCCATCAGAAGGGTTTATAATTGGCAACATATATTTATTTGTCAGTGTCTCTGACGTTGAGTATAGTGTATTTTCGATCAAGTTTGTCTCACCCACCAGCAAGTTGCCATTATTCGTTCGAACGGTGGGAACTTTACTGAGATTCGTTAATAATGATAAAACGTATAAAGAGGTCAGACAGTCTGCAGTTCCGTCATCAGGAACCCGACTTGGACAAATCTACTGAGATGTGCATCAAACCGAGACGCAGACTCGGCCATTATGAATAGCGTCGTCTCCCAAGCAAATGTCGCAAGACGCAATGTCACTAAATGTAACATGCATCAATACAACTATCGCAGGTCAACACGCCAACATACAGCCTATCCGCATACACAGCAGACATCATCACCTCGAACCTCCGTCAACCAGAATCATACGATGCAATGATATTAGGCGCAGATCACGCCGCAAATACCACAAGACGCATTACTGCATATAGCCGCAGGCATCAATGGGACTATCGCGTAGGTGGCACACCCTCACACCACACCAATATAACTCCGATCAACTTCGGCTCCAAAGTTTAGAATATACTCGGAACACACGAAGTGTCCAAACATACTCTTTCACGATCCGAATGATAGTCGACGTATCATAGCGTAAACACTAAGACGCAAACCACCAACGGACCCCCACCCAAGCCAAGTAATAGCCAACGTATCATAGTGGAATACACTAAGACGCAAGCCACCACCAGACTCCCCAAAGTCAGATGATCAGTCGACGTATCATAGTGCAACACACTAAGACGCCAACTACCACCAAACTCTTACTATGCCGAATGACAGCCAACGTATCATAGTGATGGTCACTAAGACGCCAACTACCACCAGCTATCGATGATATGTCCACCACTGAAGACATATCCATTCATGGTTCCACGTTTACCGTAGACCATATCGTCGTACAGAAGTACCACGCAACTCCATAGTAATATGTCTTATATAAAGTCCCAAGTCATTCATTGCTCTTCATTATATTTATTTATTCATTATTTTTTCTCTGAGCCTTCACATATTATTACTTTTATCCATTAGACCTTACTTCCATATGATATTGGTATGGGACGTTCATACAATGTACTTTGACTATAGTACTAAGAGTCGCGATCGACCTCTGTACTTACATATGTGCGGTCATACAAATGTGTCCCCGCACGGTACATAATACTTCCCTTAGAAATCACTAAGTATGGAATTGTATTTAATGGACATAATAGTGATCGTATCTTGCTATATTTTTAATAAATATCCTTTTTTGAGTATTTTAAGTGATTTTTAACTATTTTTTTTATCAATTTTTGGTAATATCATTTTCTCATACTAACACTTATATTTCTTTAATTTAAGTATATATTATTAACTTTTATTGTGATTAAACGTTCTTAAACGTTTTATTTTCATCTTAATTGATCTTTATTATGACTAATTAATAATAATATTTATTATTATTAATAGGTCGTTACAATGTGAACATTAAGAGAATTAGCCAGTGTACCAATAACATTTATTAAATTCTCGGAGCGGCGTTCAGGTATGCCAAAGATTTCTAAATTGTTTATTCGTGTTTTTTGTTGTTCCTCACATATTTTTTCCTCCAAATCCTGGTTATATATCTTTATCCGTTGAAGCTCACTCTCTAAGTCATTAATTTTCTTTCCATATTCAGCAATTGCAGAACCGACGGTAGTTAATTTACTTTGAAAATCATCGTAGGCCTTGGAGACAAAATCGCATCCAGATTCAAGTTGAGAGACTCTGTTATTAATTTCGTTGTACTGCTATGTAAGCCTATCGACCTTTGTTAAACACACATCTAATTTGGTATTAAAATCGTTTTTCAATTCATCAATTTTACGCTCAATATGGCCAAGTAGAGTTCTTTGTTCCTGGCCAATTGTTTCCATAGCCGAGAAAATATCTTTTGAGGCATGTACTGTTGCGGCAGAGGCGGTCGCTATTCGAGTTTGTCCTCCCGGCGACTTAGTAATTGCACCTGTTGTTGTATTACGAGTAGAGGTGGTGCGAACGGGTGTATCGTTATTATTGCCCTTAGGTTTTATTGACAGGCATCCAGGACATAACCAATTGGGATCAATTCTTGTGCGTGGTAAACGGCTCACTGAAGTGTATCTTACGCATTCTAAGTGGTAATCTAAGTCACATTTTGGGCATCTCAGACGGTCAACTGATTTGACCTCTTTATCACACGCAGAGCATCGGTAAGCCATAACGTAGAATCCAGAACAAGTATTGATTACAAGGCGGAATCAAACTTACGCACCCGAAGTTTATGTTACCTGGCTGTTAAGAGGGTAAGGCGACAAACCACTGCTGCAAGTAATCACTACGTGATGAAACTCCACTGTATAAAATAGCTATTGCTGAGTCTTCGGCAAAAAGGTCTTAAGCGCCGTGTAAATCGCGTCGCTTACGCGTTTTCGTCAACACGTTCACTTACTTCACTGATTACGATAGTTATTAAAAGTTTCAACGTTTTATTTGTAATTTACTGTAACTTTTGGACGAAAGAAATGTTCGCAATAATAATAATAGTGGTATGCGACTATGTTAACTTATTTTTATCTCTAATTGCACAATATTAGACAATTGAATTCAATAAAATTTGCAGAGGTCGAATAATAGAGTGCACTACCGCCCGTTACCGTACGAAATAATGTTTTCTAGTGTCATTTTTTCTAATAGTTAACCTAACGTGCTTAAGATGGATACAGGACGATAATTGATTATTTCAGTTTTTGTACCTTTTTTGTGAATAAGTACAATATGTGCTTCCTTCCACTCTGACCTTCAGTCAACGATCTATTGTAATCTATATCTATTATAAACAGAGGATACTTTTGTCTATCTGTGGAATATTCTGGCACATGCCGATCAATTACGCTGTAAAGTATTTTATAAAGTGTGAAGAGAAACTGCGTTTTAAAAAGTCAACTCAAGTTTGTGTGTGACTTCCCACAATATGTTGAAAATGTAATTTTTATTTGTATATGTTGAAGGATATTCCTTTTTAACACCTCGTTCTTTCATCTAGGAACAGCGAACAGAGACAATCCCATCAGTGATTTAGAAGAGGCGGGTCCCTCTGGGGGTCCTACACTGCAGGTGCTAGACGACGGATCCATGGTCCAAATCGTCGTTACCAAGGTAGAGGATGACACAGCATCGGGGAGTAAAATTACTCCTCACACCTCTCCGGGTAAGTAACGTACACTTTCAATATTCGTTCTTGCTAATAACCATCAACACAATATTTTACATACATGAACTTGACATTGCATAAATTTAATTAGATATAATGACAGTATTATTAGTTATTCCAGCCATAACATATAAGAAAATATAAACCGGCAAAGTGCGAGTCGGACACGTGCACGAAGGTTTCCGTACCATTATATATAAAAACGGCAAAAATATCATTTCTGTTGTATTATAAGCTCGACTTAAATATATTTTTTTACTCTATTTTTGTGAACTTAAATTGCATTAAGACCAAAATCTTAATACAAGTTTTAGCGCACATACCTGTCATTGCGTGTGCGCACGTCTATGCGTAAGCGTACGCGCGCGGGCGTGTGTTACACTTTCGCGTTTGATTACACAACCATTTATTTAAAAAACATAAAAAAACAGCAACGGCAGTTGGCTTAATGTGACTGAAAGTGGTCTCCGATCGCTTATTTTTTATTTTTATTGGCCGAAATAATCACTTTCATTCCTTGGGATTATAAAAGACTGCCCACGGAGTTGCTAACGTTCCGCAAGTTACCCCAAAATATATTTCGTGTATTAACCACGCACATTTCACGTCTAGATCACAGGGACGTAGATGTCGAGGAAGAGGGCGACACCACCTCGGCGCGTGAAATTGCATCTCACACCTCTCCGGGTAAGTAATTTAAAATTTTAATATTCGTTAGAATTCCATGGATTTGGTTGAACATGAGTTTTGGATTCGATTTGTTTTAAAATGTAGTGCAACGTGCTGAGATTCGTCGAAGTCAGGTGGTATGTTGCTTTAATTTCTCGCATATTTTCGATGGGAAGCGTCGCCATTTCAACAATGATTCCGTTTACTTTGTCATCAATGTTAACCAATGTGCATTCTGGGGCGACGATTTTGCAGAAATTAGGTATGGTTAGGCTATTATGGCTAGAATTTAGGCTAGGTCTTCTAATGAAATAATGTTGTTTTTATTAAATTAAATAATAATGTTTTTATTGTCCGCAGAATAGTTAGACTCGGGTAGGTTTCGGAAAGGATATGATTTAATGCTGACTATCTAGCTCCGTCAGGGGCTGTTTGTTCAGAGAGATAGGCGTGATTTTGCACGTTTGATCAATCTCCTGTGTTGAATTGAGTTTATCTATACATTCAAGATCAGAACGAACTTGATGTCCAATATGGTGCGAGCAGAGCATTCACATGCTCTCGATCTTCGGGCATTAAGGCGCTGTATGCAGCGTTGTTTCGGTTCTCTTCCAACTCCACACGTTACACAGAGAGCGCCATAGAGTAACTTATTATAGGGGTTGGATTGGAGAGCGCTGAGGCGCCTTGCTAGATGGACCTATGCCCCTCATCGCCCGCTCACCGTTACTAAATATTTTTCGTTTTTATTTATTATTGAGAGTTTTAATTTTATTAGACCTTCGAAAACACGAAAATAAAAAATATATATTCACATATTTCGTATTTATAAATTATTTGTATTTATGAACAGTTGTTACTTAATTTATTGAAAGCATAATTTCAATGTCTTATCTCGTGATTGATTGGCCTATCAGTCCTATACATACAGTGTATAGGACCATCATTCTTTATGGATTGGGTTCATATCCCTAAATTTTTTGTTGTACTTATTGTTGATTTTCTTATTTGGAAGTATTTCTTAATTACTATTTAATTATTGTTGATTTTTTTATTTTCATAAATAATTATAACGAAATATTATTGTATTTGTTCAAATAAGAAACAGTTTGGGAACAATTTATCAGTAAATAAACCAACTTTTAAAGGAAAGTAAAAAAAAACTACTTTACTTACTTTATTTAATTGTTCACCCTAAAACGTAAATATTATCCTTTAAACGAGCAATTCTTGTATATATATAATCGGAATCTCGGAAACGGCTCCAGCGATTTTCATGAAATTTAGTGTGTGCGTAGATTCGGGAGCGAAAAATCAATCTAGCTAGGTTTCATTTTTAGAAAATGTCCTTTTATCCCTGTTTTTAGGGAATGAAAAATATAATTCGAATATGACGGTAAATTTCCCCGCTAGAGAAAATGTCATAATAGCTCGGTCGGTAATCGGGCGGCCTCAAAACAGACGGCCGTGATTCGCGTCACGATCATTTACACATTCTGTTTTTTACTGTCAAACCGCTCTTTTCGATATCGAGTTGAAGGCACCCTCTCCACATGCCGCCGCCTCACGGCCGGCGTACCACAAGGCTCCTGCCTCTCACCTTTGCTCTTTACGCTCTACACGAGCGATATACCTAAAGACCCCCACGTCAATCTCGCGCTTTTCGCGGATGACACGGCGCTCTTTTATTCAGACCGCAACCTTAGACAACTAACCACTCGACTCCAAAGCGCCGCCGACCGCCTCGGCGACTGGTTCCGCAAATGGAGAATAGAAATAAATCCCGAAAAGAGTGTGGCGATTCACTTCACACGAAGTACTTACCCGTCACATCTTTATAATGGCCATCGTCAATGCAGAAAGTTGGGGCAAATATCCCTTTATGGCCAACCGCTCCCCTGGGAGAAAAAGGCCAAATACTTAGGAGTCACTTTCGACTCGCGTATGTCATTTAATACGCACATTAATAACGTTCGCAATAGAGCCGCGTTCGTCTCCGGCCGGCTACACAATTTAACTAACGCTAAAAGTAAAATGCCCTTAAGACACAATTTATTATTATATAAGACCTGTGTACGACCTATTATGTCTTACGCATGCATGACCTTCGCCCACACGCACCCTACTCGCTTGTACAAGTTGCAAATAGTACAAAATAAGTTCATCCGCCGCGCAACCGGTGCGCAGTAGTATCAACGCAACGTCGACCTGCACAGCGATTGCAGACTCCCGACGATTCGTGAATATTTTAAAGACCTGACCAAACGGTTCTTCGATAGAGCCGAACATCATCCCAACACTCTGGTGGTAAGCGCAGCAAATTACCAACCCGACACAAACGCGAACGTCAAGAAGCGTCGCCCGCGAAACGTCCTCATCGACCCGGTCGAGGAAGGGGACTTAGATACGTCGGACCCACCGCCGGGGGTCCCGCCGGATAACACTACACCCACAGTTAGTGCAACAACAAACATACTAGTTCGCCCTCGCCTCCGAGCACGGCGAGACCAACACAACGCGTACACGAGGTACACCCGCGTTCCGGGGCGGTTCTCACCGCCCCCAGCCACCGATTAGCTAATTGCACAGTCGACGGCCATCGGGGTTTCGGTCCGAACCGCGACCTCGATGGCCCTAAGATGACACACCACACTTAAACGCACGCATGAGCACATGCGTGGCCCTACCCACAGCGGAGGGCCCAAACCCGTGGGTTCTGGCTAGCCCACCGGTTCTGCGTCAGATGAAGCTTTAATAGTCTCGGGACTGAAAGCACAAACATCAGTTAATACAAGATACAAGTTTTTTACTTTTTTTCGATTCCAGATCATTGCTTTCTTTATTTTAAATTTTTTGTCGATTTGTTATTTTGTTATTTTTTTCCCTCTTTACCGTCATATTCGAATTATATTTTTCATTCCCTGAAAACAGGGATAAAAGGACACGTTCTAAAAACGAAACCTAGCTAGATCGATTTTTCGCCCCCGAATCTACGCACATACTAAATTTCATGAAAATCGCTGGAGCCGTTTCCGAGATTCCGATTATATATATATATATATATATATATATATATATATATATATCAGTCAGGCTTAAATATAAAGGACAGAAGATTTGAGCCTCCTTCTTTTTTCGAATTCGGTTAAGTCCGTTTTTACCTAACATTACTTGAATTCATGTTATAAAATAGTATGTAATCAAAATGAAAACAATCCATTTCGCTTAAAAAGGCGGACGCAATATCACATATCAAGTGAAAGCTTGTGAAAAGAGTGTATATTCACGAAACGCGAATATAATAAACATTTAACAAAATCCTATAAATTCAAGTGGTGTGCACGATGTCGCAACGTCGCATTTCGATCTATCGCTGGACGTCACATACGGCTAGCAATGAAAGGTTAGAATAATGACGACAGTGCCGTTAGTTTTTGCTACGAAATCTAGCGGAACTAAAGGAATATACAGAAACGCAAGATTGCCGATGAACCGACGTCCAAATTATTTTTTTACTTTTGACTTTTCTGATATCACCAAGGCAAGCCGCGATCATTGAGAACATTCTCCGATCCGACGTCCGTATATCGGACGTCCAAAGCAGGTGGACGCCAGATTATATGCAATTTGGTCCATAGTGTACGCACAATAGGTAGCGTGATATATATATATATACAAGAATTGCTCGTTTAAAGGATAAGATTTATGTAATAAACCCAATCCACGCGGCATGGTGCCAAGAACGCTTACTGCATTTCCTCGCTGAATAGTTATGCTTAACCTTTGAACGAGAAAAGAAACAGCTTTCTTGTCACCGGCCGCGGTGTTAAGGCTAGGACATAAATTTTTGAAAAGTTTTATTGTGCGGGGATCCCACGGACCCAAAGTTTCAACAGCAAATGACACAAATACATAATCTAAACATAAAGGCTCGTATTTGCGCCATTTACTTCAGCTGCCTCCGATGCCGTCCCGGCCCTGACTGAAGTACCCCTTAGATGAGAGGCAGCCAAACTGTCTACACAAGTAGCGTCCCAAACAAGGGCTTTGCCTCTCTCCCAAGGGATCAAAGTTAAACCGTCAGGTCTCTTACCATCGTCGTGAAAAATGCCATAGAGCTCTTAAATAGATGGAACATTGATGGAAACAAGAGCCCTTCGGATGATGTCGATCAGGGTACCGTGGCGGGAAAAGTGGCCAGCAGTTTTTTGACAAGAAAGCCCGTGGACACCAAATTTGTCTACACTGACAAATCTTTGCTGTGGTTGACAAATGGGTGCCCCCAGACGCGTTCCTACAGCAATGCGTAAGCTTTCATCGTCAAGTAATGTGCCCAAGATACTTGATGGTAAAGCGTGAAGCCAATACTTTCTAAAGATCAGAAGAGAAACGTATCTTTCTGTACCCTCCGCACCAAAGGAATATGCCACTGTTTTTGTAGGTTTATTTCCAGTGGAATGTTCTCGTTGGAGCAGATAGGCAGCCAAGACATCATTTCCTCCTCGGCATAGGAAAGTTCTGAATTGTGATTAAGGATATTATTACATAAATTACTTACGCTATGCGCGGAAGCAAGGAAGGCAGGAAGAGCGACACTAGAAATTTTTCTTTCACCAATACCACCAAAACGAATTGGCAGCGTAGCTCGAGTCCAGCTTAATTCATCTTATCTATAAATATAAAAATGAATTGCTGTTCGTTAGTCTCGCTATAACTCGAAAATGGCTGGACCGATTTGGCTAATTTTGGTTTTGAAATATTTTTGGCAGTCGAGGGAAGGTTTAAACGATAAGAAATTGATAAATGGAAAAATTGCATGGAAAATAGAAATATCAACAATTTTATTTTCCCATACAAACTGTATCTATGTCAACTATGTCTGTGTAACCTGTCAAACACTTTATGCGTGCGTTCCGATTCCTCTAGAAATTATTTATATGGCAAAACAACGTTTGCCTTTGTCAGGTAGTTAAGAGATAAATTTAGAATTTTTTCTAGAGCTGATTTAAGATGAAAATCAATTTCGTTCAAAAAGTCACGTTCAACAAGTCCAACTCACTTTTAAAGCCAAAATTGGCTTTAAAAGTGAGTTGGGTCGCTTAATTCTAATTCACCGTAGGGCATTTCTTGTGCATTATATGACGTTTTATACGTTTAATATTGTTTTGAGTACGTACGCCTTTATTGATATTTTCCGAAATATTTTTTCGGACTCACACCAATATATCGAAAATATAATTTTTATTTGTATCTCTTGAAGGATATTCTTTTTTAACACCTCGTTCTTTTACCTATAGCAACAGAGATGAGCGACGACCAAGAATTACCGGAAGAGGCGGGTCCCTCTGGGGTAAGACCTAGACTGCCGGCGCCAATGGACTGGTCCTTGGTCGGAATCACAGACATCCGGTCTGGATTTGATTGTAAGTACCATGTTTAGTTAGTTCCAATTAGTTAATTTTTTAGTTGTTTCTGATTAAACAGCATTTCAATTAATCCGCATTAAAATTATGGTAGGGCCACCCAACAGCTTCTGTTGCACGAATGGGCAGACTCGTCCGGTGAAGTACCAGGGCCTCACAAAAAACGGGCGTGAAATGGAAGTGTTCCACTTTTGCGTTTGATTACACAACCATTTATTTGAAAAAAGATCCATAAAAGAACAACAACGGCAGTTTGCTTTAAGAAGAAAATCAATTTCGTTCAAAAAGTCACCGCATTTCCAATCTGGACTCTAGCGAAGGAGGTACAGTCGCCTGTACTCACAGTTTTTATTTTTTTAGAATGTTTATATACATTGCCGTGATGTAGACTATATTTTATTTAAAAACACAAGTGGACGAATTTTTATCCCAAAACTCAATTAATTATAATTTATTAATATATACCCTCTGTATAGAGGAGGCCTTTGCCCAGCAGTGGGACATTTATAGGCTGATACTTTATTTAAAAATACTAGCGGCCAAATTTTGATAGGCAACTTGATAGATATATATTCTCCTTATCATAAATATACATAAAAATTTGGTTTTTACCAAATAACTGATGAGCGCACTAATCCTGCAGCCGGATCTTAGACCACTAGTACCTCTTGGAATCCTTTTGAGTATGGTAATAATGGATCTGATAAAACATTAACTTTAAATTTTTACCATTATACTCGCTAAAAATCTTAATACAAAATGAGGTAGGTTCTGAAGCTGCAACAGGGTGACTATGACAACCTTTAATGTGAATCGTGATTATCTAAGTGTTCCTTTACGTTTCAATTTGTGCGAATCTCTCGTGCTTTCAAAATTCAATTACGCAGATTCTCTCTTAGGCCAACGTCTCTTATCATGAACAAGGCAAATAATACAAAGAGTACAAAACGCCTGTGCATGCTTCTGTTTTAATATACCACCACGTGCACATGTAACGCCTTTCATAAACAACGCAAATATCCTAAAGATGGACCTCCGATGTAATATAATATAATGTAATTTGATATGATATAATATAATATATACCTTATAATTGTCTATACCTGTATCGTAAATTTATTTTTAAGTCAATCACTTTCTTACCCATATAACGTGGCCAATGCGCAACGAGGTTTGTCTCGCATTTGATGTTTGAAATTATTACACGTTTCCACCACTTAATCGTTAATTATCATAGTACCACAGAGTTGGGATAAACATTGGTAACCTAAAACCGAAATTGAAATATAGTATCTGACACCAATATTAAAAAGCAAACATTAGTTTTAATTTTTACTTACCTCATCAGAAGAAATGATAACCACAGTCTATATGAATGAAAGGTTCAAACAAAAACAATTTAATTTTCGTTATACTGTGCTGTAACTATTTTTTGCAAGTTCACTGTCGCAGCCGTCCGAGTTGCCTCGAAGTGCGGGCCGGACTGAAAACCGGTGTCGGGATCAGAACTAGTTACTGTATTTCGACTTTTACCGAGTCCCGTCCGTTTCACGGTCTTATGCTGCTACACAGACCGAATTACGTGGACTCCAGCCAGAGGTTGCGAAAAAAGCAATTATTATAAAATATAATTTATTTTACTTTCAAATATTATAATTAAATTATAGCTAAGAAAGGTGACTCTAATTCGATGTGTGAATTAAGAATGAGGATCGATTACAATTTCGAAATAAGGTAAAGAATTTATGACGCAAATGCGTTGTGCTGAGTCGGTGCCTCGTGCCATCGCGTTGGAGTCCGATGCCGTTGCAACGCAGCAGATTCCTTATACTAGGGCTGCGTAACACCTCCCTCCGAAGAACAACGACTATGAAGGATCTTCGTTATGAATGGAGCTGGGAGTCTGTTGGTATCAGGTCCACCGATATTTGGAACAGCATATACCCTCTGCAGCTCGGGATGCTGATCGTTTCGGGATCTTCAGATTTTCTTTATTTTTCTATAGATCATTTCAAGGATTATTGTACTACCGCTTATTAGAAGTATGTATAGCGGCACTGTTATATGGTAAAGTTCGTTTTGAATACATTGGTTACTGCTGAGACATTTCAATGTTCTATGCGTGAAGATGTTAAAATCGATGAGGCGGTTGAGTTCTTGGAGTAGGTTGATAATTTTTAGAGCTTGATCTTGTAGTACTGGTTTATCTGAGGTTGTTGCGACCGGGATGCACGCTGCATTCTTCTTTTATGTAGAGATGAGCTGATAGATTTATTCCTGGGATGTATGACTATGCAGGATCCGCTTTTCTTGTAAATGTGTAATTTATTGGCCTTCGGGCATTCTGCCTCTATGTACTTAGAATCTTTCTGATATACGGCAAGGAATGGGACAAGTGGTGTAAGGATTAAGGATGTTTGTTTTACATTTAGGATAATGGATAACTACTTATACATACACATTATATGGGTTAATAAAATCGAGAATTTATATATACTATTACTATTTCTATATATGCTGAATTCTATTTAAAATGGCGTAATTGGCATGAATTATTATTATTTTTTAACTAAAACACCTATAATAAACTACCTATAATAAATTTTATATATAGCCGAGAGTATCTACGAGTCCACATTTCCTACGGTTTAGCCTAAATGATTTTAGCTAAAAGAAACGCCGTCAAGCTTATTTTTTTGATATTCAAATGTGTTTTAAATCGAAATCGGTTATAAAATTTAGTTTAGGGCTTATACTATTTAATTGATTTTAAACGGAATTTATTTTATATTTTAGTTTTTAAAGGTTAACATATTGCGGTAAAGAACGATATTGGGATAGGATTCAGGTAGTGCATAATTAAAAAGGTAATACGCTGGGTCATGGCTCTATAGTTAAGGCCTTTTAGCATTAGAGTTGGTCCCAGAAGGACATGGAGCTTTAGGAGAGTCCTGCAACAATTGGTTCGTTTTAGGAGCTCTTTTAAGATGGGATTTGGCTACGGGACCACGCTTTTTCTTAGTGTAAATATGAATGGGGAGATCTGCCATAACTGTATCGTGTGAAAATCGAGGAGCTAATTTTTGACGGGATGCAAATGGGTTTTTAATGTAAATTTGTTGTTCTGGTGAGTATTCAAGTCCCGGTTCTCGATTCTGATTTCTTATTTCGGTCAAGTCTTTTCGCGTTTCATTACAAAGGTTATGCATGGAATTATATGTTATGGTCATTCTGTCCTTGTGATTTGTCATGTACTGTTGAAGTAGGTGAACTGAGAGGTCTATGTCGAAAGGATTTCGTGGGTCAAAATGTCCGGTTCAATTACTTCTATTGGCTTGCATTTTGTAAAACTTGGTATGCTATGGTTATACCCTAATAAGGCATACGGCATAAGGTTGATTACAGACTCGCTTTTCTGTTTTATCTTTAATATACGGAGATGTTCTAAAATGATTGCGTGAAAACGTTCGACAATTCCGTTTTCGTTGAGGGTGTGCGGAGCTATTCTGTGACGCTGAATTTTGTGGAGGCGAACAAATTCTGCCATTAGCTGGTTAGTAAATTCAGGGCCGTTATCGGTAACTACGGTAATAAGTATTCCATGGTGGGTGCGAAACATGAGTAAAGCTTGTACTACACTTACAGCGGTCGCGTCTCTTAAATATTACGCTTGGGCGTATTTTGAGAATGAATCTACTATTGTCAAGAATTTCTCACTTTGAATAGTTAATAAATCCATATGAACCAATTCAAAGGTTTTGGAGGCTGGTGGTACAATTTGGAACTTTTGTTTGATCGGATTTCGGTCGTACTTAGCTTGACCACATGTTGTGCACTCATTAGTTACGTGTTCCCTCATTTTCGGCCAATAGTATCTATGGGATAATGATAGGAAACATTCATTAATACTAACCATAGTAAGTTTTACCTTCGTGGTATTTATGAATAATTTCTTGCTGCCTGAGATATTCCCTAACGTTTTCCAATTCGATCTTTGTTAAAATTAGATTGAGTGAAGAGAAGAGAAGAGAAGGTGTTCCGTATAATTGGTATAATACTGTACATCGCTGAATAAGGATTTATTAGTAAGCCTGTCTTAATTTTTGGGTGAACGTATTCTTTAATGGCATTTATAACGCCTGCTCAAGATTTGACTCGGAATCAAAATTTGGACGGTGGTACGTGTATGAGTCTCAAATGGTTTCGTTACCACAGGCCTAGCCTTTTTACTACGTTTAATATCAACTGCTTAGTAAATTTATTCAAGGGTTCATCCGAAATTGGGACTTCAAGAAGAGGATTTTCATGATCGGTGTGGACAGTGATAATTCTAGAGTCATTTGGTATTTCGCTAGCCGTTAAAGTTCTGGAGTTGTCGTCCGTACGGATTGTTTCGGACGGATTGGGTAAAATCGAAAGTAGCTCATCTATAATAGGACTTAACTCCTCATTGTGGATTTCAATACTCTGCTTATATATGACACTAAAATCATATTCGCTTCATTTAAGACGCCATCGTGTAAGTCGCGAGTTAGGTTCCTTTAAATTCATCATCCATTGTAGCGGTTTATGATCTGTGAAAATTTTGAACTTACGGCCAAACAAATAAGGTCTAAAATACTTAGTCGCCCACACTATGGCTAAGAGTTCAATTGTACTGTAGTTAATTTCGCTCGAATTTAGTGTGCGCGATGCATACGCGATTGGTTTGTCCGACCCAATATTTCCTTGGGATAAAACTGCTCCGATAGCGACATTAGAAGCGTCGGTTGTTATAAAATAAAATTCTTAGTAAAATCCGGATACTGAAGAATCGGATCATTCGTTAAAAGCGTTTTACAATGCTCAAAAGAATTAATATATTTTTCATCTAACGTTATTTTCGATCCTTTCTTTAGACATTGTGTAAGCGGTTTCGTAAGACGGGCAAAGTCTGGTATAAATTTTCTATAATATCCTAAAAGACCTAGGAAACGTTTAATTTCCGTTGCGGATTTGCGAAGTGGATAATTTTGAATCGCTTTAATTTTGTTTGGGTTTGGTTTAACACCCTCTTTACATATAACATGTCCTAAAACTTCGGTTTCAAGCTTTAAAAACTCTGACTTATCCAACTGAATTTTGAAATTTGACTCTCGTAATCTTTTAAATACCTTCTCTATATTTATAATATGTTCCTGTAATGATGTGCTGAAGACAATTATGTCCTCCAGGTAGACCAGACAAATTTCATTTTGTAAATTATTTAATACATTATCCATTACCCTCTGGAAAGTAGCGGGGCTACCCATCATCCCCATGGGCATCCTAAGGAATTCGTAATGACCGTTCTCCACATTAAAAGCTGTCTTATGAACATCCGGGGGATCCATCTCAACTTGATAAAACCCACTGGCTAAATCGAGTGTGGTGAAGTATTGGCATTTCCCTAGCTTATCTAATATGTCGGATATATTAGGAATAGGATATTTATCGTCGAATGTTTTTTCATTTAATTTTCGAAAATCTACCATGAGACGCCACTTAACTTTACCGGAAGCGTCAGCCTTTTTGGGTACGATCCAAATAGGTGAACTCCAAGCAGATTTGGAGGGTCTAAATATATTTTGTTCGAGCATCTGTTGAATTTGGTCTCTAATCTCTTGTCGATGAACATACGGATACCATTTACGGATAGCTCTTAGTATGCACGTGTTTTATGTCATGTGTTTTAATTTTATGTTTTTTTTTTTTGGTGAAAGTTAAAGGTCGAGGTAAAATACGTCCGCGTACGATGCACATAACCGTTTTAAATTTTCAAGTTCTTCCGGGTTTAAATGATCGGTGCGGAGACGAGATAACACCTGCTTAGTGCGGTCTGATAACGCTTCGTTACGTGTGCTTTCGAGGTTAAATATTTCGGCTTCTATGGGACGGTTCATTGAGAAAATTACATCATTCGGGCTGTCGTTAATAACTTCAACCCAGCCACGGTTATTAGTGACTTTAGTTAAGCAATCGGAAATAATGCAATTACAAATCATTTGGTTTTCAATGACTACGTCACCGTCCTTTGAGTTAATTGGTAACCTGACAAATTTTGACGAATTTGCGGGAATCATTTCCTCATATAAATTAGCGTTACGTGAGTCGTACATTAGTATGGGGATTTTTGAGTTTCGAGTTATAAGCAATTCCTTTCTAAGATCTATGCTAGATCTCCATTCGTTAAGTAAATCGAGACCTGAATCGAGAAATAATCCGTCGAAATAATTATGAAACTTGTATATGAATAACGTAATATCCTTTTTTTCCCTAAATTCAGGAGGGCACGGGAAGGTTATGGAGTAGTCATTTTTACTGGTAGTGTGAACATTTGTTACTTCAAATGGATCATAATTTAACGGGATGTGGTTTAAAATTTACCTACAGCTTCGGGGCTAATAAACGATTGGTTAGCGCCAGTGTCTATGAGAAGTTTCAAAGGCGGGTTTGCTAACTGTATATAACCAAGTTGCCTTTGAGTATGAAGATTAACTTCTATCTTGGTTTTTCTAATTTGGGGTCGCTGCGAAAATCCTCATCATTTCTCTGGTTACTTTTAGAATCCACTTCCTCTACAATCGGATTTTCCTCGTAGTTGTATTCCTGCTCATAATTATAGTAAGGATATTGGTTGTAATAGTTGTAGTCGGGGTTAGCATATTCGTAATACGGTTCAGAGTTATAGTCGTAGTCAATCTCGTTAAAATTCACCTGGCGAGTTTTAAAATAATTGCTTGGCGGAGGGTTACCGAATTGTCTCCAGTCTCGTCCTGTCAATGGTAAGGGCTTGGGAATAAATAGAGTGATACCGCTCATGGGAGTTGGACGCGAGTTATGGCTTATATGAAAACCTTGGGATTATTGGGGCTTATTAGGAAGTTTAAATACGTTACTTTGCGGGTTATAATTCGGTAGTGGAGCACTCATCATCTGTTGAGTACGTGTAGGACCGCGTGGTGAATGTAATTGGGATGGATTGGGTCTCTATCCCTGTAAGGGACGTGGTGGTAAAGGTGGTGGTTGCATGATTACAGGAGAGGGTTGCATGTGTGGTTGTTTAGGGATATTAAATGGGATAGGTTTCGGGGTAAAATTATTTAATGGGAGGTTAAAGGATGGTGGTGACCATTCCATCCTCATATGTCCACCTTCATTACGTTGTTGGAGGTAAAGCTTATTTAATTCCTCCTGTACGAATTCGAGTGCTTTTTCCATGTTCTCGGGACGCATGCATCTAATCCTTGAACCTAGAGGTTCTTTCAAACCGCGTAAATAAGCTTGAAGTGTTAACTTTTTGTAAAGCGTTCGTTTAGCTTCGATGGTCGTGCTAACTTTCGTGTAACGTGACATATGTCATTATTGTACTAAAGAGACTTTGTACACGTTCATAAAATTCCTGCGGGGTGCTGGACCCTTGGGTTTGTAGTGAAAGATCACCGTACAAGGCGGTCTCGTCGCGATGATCGGCAAAGTTATTAATAAAGGCGCTTTTAATTCCGGTCCACGTTGCGGGAATTCCATTTGAGTTTATTAATCTAGCCGCGGGACCCGTTATTTTATTAAGAATTCCGTTAGTTAAAGTTAAAGTTTCAAACTCCGCGCCAGGCTCATTTTTTACAAATGTACATACCAATTGATCACAAAGATTTATGAATCGCGTGAGAACAAATGGGTTGCCGTCAAATCTAAATGCCTATTTTCGTCTATTACACTAAGCCTAGAATTTCTACTATAACTATCTAACCTAATATTCCTAATCTTGGAAGCTAAATTAATTACTATTAATTAATATAAAAAGACACAAGATAAAAAATAATACCTAGACTACAATGAATCAATTTATAAAAGGATTAGGGATGTAATAAAATAATACTTATGAAAATAGGACAGGTAATGATTGAAAGATTACTTACTGCATTATTTTTCTTCGCGGAATCGATGCCTGGATTCGTCTCTGGACTGATGCACCCGTAGGTTCTGGATCTTGTGCGCCAATCTTGATAAACTGACTCTACTTTGAAGATCCTACCGACTGCGCCAATCACGTGGGCTCCAGCCAGAGGTTGTAAAACAAAGCAATTATTATAAAATATAATTTATTTTACTTTAAAATATTATAATAGCTAAGAAAAGTGACTCTAAATCGATGTGTGAATTAAGAATGAGGATCGATTACAATTTCGAAATAAGGTAAAGAATTTATGACGTAAATGCGTTGTGCTGAGTCGGTGCCTCGTACCATCGCGTTGGAGTCCGATGCCGTTGCAACGCAGCAGATTCCTTATACTAGGGCTGCGTAACAACTGTCACTTACTGTTGTTATTTTATTTGCTTATTTTTATGTTTACATTCATTTTAAGTTTCTGTGTAGTTACATTATTATTTTTAAGTTTTGTATGTATTCATTTGTTTTTAGACCGTGAATAAACGTTTCTTCTTCTGAATATTTAAGCCTCTTTATCTTTAAAAAGCCTACAGTCGGAACATTTTTGGCATGGTAAAAAATCCGTTTGAAAGCACATACGAACATCGTTATTCATAATATTAAAAAGCACCCTTGAAAAATTTAAATAAGGTCACTAAAAGGCACGACGATGAGGAAGCCTCACGACGACCACCACTGGCTCTTAATAGGGCAGCTAGGTATGGACGTGGAAGCTGAAAACAAATACAAATACATATCTGGGGCAGCAAATTAGGTTAACATTTAAGAATTATTACAGTACTCCCCAGGATTTATCACAAAATCCAAAACAACATGGTCTTCAGGCGTTTGACAGTTGAGGTTCCTGACTCGCAGAGAATTTGATTTCGTTGGCCGCAAAAATATACTGAAATTACTTCTTAAATCGTAGTGTTAGATTTTTAATACTGATCTTTCATCGATTTTAAAGCCAAAATTGGCTTTAAAAGTGAGTTGGGTCGCTTAATTCTAATTCACCGTAGGGCATTTCTTGTGCATTATATGACGTTTTATACGTTTAATATTGTTTTGAGTACGTACGCCTTTATTGATATTTTCCGAAATATTTTTTCGGACTCACACCAATATATCGAAAATATAATTTTATTTGTATCTCTTGAAGGATATTCTTTTTTAACACCTCGTTCTTTTACCTATAGCAACAGAGATGAGCGACGACCAAGAATTACCGGAAGAGGCGGGTCCCTCTGGGGTAAGACCTAGACTGCCGGCGCCAATGGACTGGTCCTTGGTCCGAATCACAGACATCCGGTCTGGATTTGATTGTAAGTACCATGTAGAAATTAGTTAATTTTAGTTGGCTTTATGTGACTGAAAGTAGTCTCTGCACGTTTATTTTTTTATTTTTACTGGCCGAAGTAATCACTTTCATTCCTTGGGATTATAAAAGACTTTGGCCACGGAGTTGCTAAAGTTCCGCAAGTTACCCCAAAATATATGTCATGTATTAAACACGCACATTTCACGTCTAGGTGACAAGGACAAAGATGTCGAGGAAGAGGTCGACACCACAACGAGGCGCGAAATTACTCCTCACACCGCTCCGGGTAAGTAATTAAAACTTTTAATGTTCGTTCTTGCGAATAACCATCATACTTTTAATTATCAACCATTAACATATTTTATACACTTGAACTTGACATTGCATAACTTTAATCAGATAGTATAACAGTATTATTAGTTATTCGGGCCATATTGCTCCGCTCGCATCTTATTCCCGCCATGAGTATGGAAATAAAATTATAAAAAAGAAGCTGCGCCCCGCGGTGTTACCAGCGATTAAAAAGTATGTACTTATCCTCTATGCCTTTTTTGTACCGTTTGTATTCAAAATTTTTGGTTGATTAGTTGAAAATGTTACAAACAAAAGAAGAAACAGACAAACTCAATTTCGTATTTTTTATTAATTTAAATGTTATCAAAATCGCCTTTTAAAAGACTTGAATTGTTAAGATTAGCACTCCAAAACTATTTTGTAAACAACTGGCTATTCTATGGCTATTAAGTGCTATAAATTCTGCACTTAAGATTAAACATTAAAATTTGTAAAAAAAATACGAAAAGTTTACAATCTACTTCAAATTTCTAATAGCAATGGTAACAACTTTCGTGCGAATTATCGCTATGAAACGAAATAAGAAATTAATTGTATGCTGTAAAGGATATACAGACAAAGTGATGTAGAAGTGGGCGATACAAATCGTATCAGATATGACTCGTTCAATATCTATGAATTTTACAATATCTGATATTTCCGAAATCTGATGTACCGAATACTCGCTCACTCGCTATACCAACACGAATCGCGATATCATATACGCGTTTGCCACAATATCAGATTTTTAGATTATTCGTGAGATATAAATATTCACTAGTTAGAGCAGTACGGCAACAATATCAAATTTTAAACAGATTTCGAGAGACAAAGCGCGTGAGATACAAATATTACATTAGTTAGAGCAGTACGGCAACAATATCAGATTTTTAAACAGATTTTATGAATAAGCTAAGTAATTTTGAATCTTAACACTCTGCAAATAAGATCCGTTTCATTTAAATTATTGCCACAATATCAGATTTTTAGACAAAGCGCGTGAGATACAAATATTCACTAGTTAGAGCGGTACGGCAACAATATCAGATTTTTAAACAGATTTCGAGAGACAAAGCGCGTGAGATACAAATTAACATTAGTTAGAGCAGTACGGCAACAATATCAGATTTTTAAACAGATTTTATGAATAAATTAAGTAATTTTGAATCTTAACAGCATGGAAAAAAACTCTGTTTAATTTAAATACGAATCATGGTATTAACGATTTCTTTAAAGTTTGTTTAGCCTTGAGCTGGAGTGCATTGAACTGCATTGGTACTTAAGCACGTTATAGTGAGGGATGCCAACTTAGGAATTTTATTCCTAAATTAAGGAAGAAAAATATGCAATGGAAATTTTTAGGAGGTAAATTTTATTTACATTTTTGAAAAAAAAAAATAAAACTACACAAAACGAAAAAGAAAATATAATTTAATAGTGCTGTGCTGCTTTGGTGGACGTCAGGCCAAGGCTTATGTGTCTTGTGTGTATATTTTAAATTCTTCCGGCCTGAACTATAATATTGAATGTATTATTTCTTACACAAAATATAAAAATATTGTCATTCATGATTGCGTGTTCTGGGGTGTTAATAATACATAATTGAATTATGTATTACGTTTTAAAAAACCTTAAAAATTTTTAAAGGTACGCCTGACCCTGTAGGACTCACTGGTGTTAACAATTCCTTTTTTTTAATGATTTTTTTAAGGTGGATACGCGAACGTAAAATATCTAGATATTAAAATATATAGTTTCGAAATCTGATATTTGAAATCGAAATCTGATTCAGATACGGTTCTCAGAAAAAGCGATACGACCTATCTCTAAAGTGATGGTACCATCATGGTTTCGCATCAGTAGAACATCTGCGTTTCTAACATTTGAGTTAAAGTTTTTATTGAACTGCTTGTAAGGTATTCGCTAGTCAGTAAAAATACATGAAATACTAACTTTTCAATAGTGTTCAATCTCTCTCTCCATCTCTCTCTCTCTCTAATTAGAACACTAAAATAATATGGCAAATGTTTAACAGGGCGATCTCCAGCAGGGTGTGATCCAGTTCGCGCGCAGGAATCTACCCAACCAATTACATTGGATGAAATTGACAAATCCATTCTCAAAGCACATCGTTATGAGCGAGAGCTAAAAAGTTTACAGGCGAGACAAGCTGAGAAAATTCACATCATTGAGAGTGACAGTTCAGACTCGGACGTGGTGCTTAACAACCCTGTAAAAACAGAACACGACGACGATCTTATCGCAATATGCCCGGCCCAGACATATTATTACTTAGATGAAGTTGTTGGGGTCTCGAGAAAAGAGTTGCAGAGCCGTTGCAAACATTGCAGGGCCTGTAAACTTGTAACAAAAATTTTATCTGTGGCTTGCCTATTTCAAATGCGCGTGGTCCGATGTATCAGGGAGCCACAGAGCGATTTGATCGGTAGGTTTGAGCCTCTACATGATGATGATATTGATGACTTAACGAGCTATGGTGTAACGGACCGAAGTGACCCCCAGGGAGTTGTGCCCTCGCCTTCGGCATTTTATTTAGAAATAGCAAAACAATCGAGTTATGTTGTCGAGGTGAGATGGACCTGGGTGGCGCAGGCCATGAAATTCGCCCTCACTGCGGCCATTCAAATTAAGTCACAAGAAATGAAGATGGCACGCCTCAGTTTGATAGATCACGCTAACATTTTGGCGGAGTTAGCAAATTATATGGGCCATATATTCAAGGACCCCCATATGGACCCGATTGATGAAATACCGGAGCGTCTTTTCTTCTTTAACCATTCCCTCGAAGCGTCGATGGATAATGTCGTTACAGAAACAATAGCGGCCCATCAACGTTACAGGATTAACAAGAACCCCTACGAGATTGCTCAGTTTATAAGTGCTTCTAAACTTCTTGGTACGTACCTACAAACTAGAGCAAGGAGGTGAGGTACTTCTTAGCCGCTGATGTGGCTCAGCGGCGTTGAGAAAGGGCGTAGCAACCATCAAATTCTAAAGGATCATGTGAACTGAGCCGATGAATGTGCAGCCATCTTCTCAGTCGCCAAGAAAACCATCAATTATACATGAAATGGTTAAAGATTCTCAGCCATCAACACGAGAAAAGGGCGGTCGAACGCTCACACACCCATCGCATTCTCAACCGTCTGCGTCACAAGTAACCACTGCTGATGGTCGGTTTCTTGATTGCAAGAAACGGATCCGGAGTGTCCACAGCCGTCATCAGCACAGACAGAGTATGTGGAGGATTCGCAGCTAGGCAGCAGTAGATTCCAACGAACCCACCACCGGCAATGAACAGAAAGACTTCCCGAATGTAACACGTAAAACACTTGAAGCTGTAGTGTTCTGTTCATAGGAGGAGGAGTTTCAGGTAACTTGCGACACCGATGGCAAATATAAGACCAATATCCGATCAATGTTAAAATAGTTTTTATCTTTTTGCAGGATCCCATTGCTGGCTTCAACAAAATAATCCTCGAGGCCACGCAACAATGCCTGGGCAAGTTCATTCTGCCCTTTGATGTGATGTGTGAAGGTAAGTGCTCCATCGTAATTAATGCCCAGCTTGCTATTTTATTTCTTAATCAGTGTAAAATTAACACAGACTGCCGATTAAAAGTATTTGGCTTTAATAAAAATTGTTTTTTTTATGTAGATTTGGGTAGATATAAAATGAATCAGATTGCTGTGACATAATTTTGGGCAATTGAGCATACGGTTCACAAGATTGACTGTTGTTATGGAGGACAATGAGTATTGATATGGGCCGGTAATTTTCAATTATAGTCTTGACCCCACCTCTTGGGATAGGAATTAAATGAGCTTCTTTCTAAATAGTCGGTAAGTACCATCACAAAAGCAATTATTATAATAGGTTGGGGAAAAATTTTCTTCGCATTTTATATGAAAATTCAAAAGATTTTTTAATAAAGTTTATTTACGTTTAACTAAAGTATGTAGGTGCCCATTCTGTTCGATAACTTTCTGCCATTTTCTAGGCAGGGACATGATCCCATTGCTATTGAAATTCTAGGGCTTCTGATCAAAAAACCGCGACAAGTGGTTTTGGCAGTCCTCTGGTGATGTTAACCTGATAATGCCTAAATAATACTGAAGACACCGAAACAAGTGGAGATCTGAAGGTGCAAGTTCAGGACTATACGGCGGATGCATTGACACCTCCCAGTCAAACTCTCTTAATTTTTGCTGAGTGGCTAAAGATATGTGAGGTCTAGCGTTATCATAAGGAAAAACCACACCCCTTGTGTTGATCAATTTCGGCGGCTTTCTCTCAACTTCTAGCTTTAATCTCATCAGTTGTTCGGTGTAGAGTTCAGAATCATTGCTCCTGCCTGACGGTAACAGTTCACAATGAATAATGCCCTTCCAATACCATCATACACACAGCATCACCGTGTTGCGAGATAACTCGGGTTTTGCCAGAGTCTGTGAAGCCTGACCAGCCATTGATCACGACCTTTTTCGCACGTTCTTGTAGTATGTGATCCAGTTTTCATCACCAGTCATCAGGTTGTTCAAAAATAGTTCGATTTCATTAGGTCGTAATAAAGAATCACAAATGAGTACACGGTTTATTAGGTTTCTTTCAGTGAGCTCATGAGGCACTCAAATATCGAGCTTTTTTGTGTACCCAGCTTTTTTCAAATGCGCCAAAACTATTTCGTGGTCAATTTCCATGCTACATCGAAACTACTGATAGGCCGATCTTGCTCCACTTTTTTAAAAATGGCATCCATTTTATCCGTAACAAGGCGCCCAGAGCGAGGTGCTTTTGACATCAAAATTTCCGGATTGAAAACGCTTAAACCAAATTTGTACTACTCTCACGGACACTGCACTAGGTCCATAAATATCACAAATTTTTTTCGCGGCTTGCGTTGCATTTTTACCTTTTTGTAGTAAAATTTTAAAATGTATCAAATTTCTTCATTACAATCACTTATTTTAACAGTAAGAAAAACAAATTAAAATCACACATTTTCCTAATTTGAATTTGGAATTATCTTTTTTAAAATTTAAACTTTTTAATTATACCAAAACCAGCCAGATACAAACTGTATATCCAAAGAGATTACATAGTAAGTACATACGTACTATTTGAGAAAAGAGTTTTTCCCCAACCTAACGTAATAATGCTATGGGGAACGTTAGAGACTCAGCATATTTTATATACCTAAATGTAGGAGTAAATTTTTCATTACTACCAAGTACCCATTCGAAATTAAAAGCCTAATTAATAATTTTGTAATGACTTCTGATTCAATGTTAATATAATGAATTATATTTGTATTTTTTGTAATTATAAAATTATCAGAATATGTAAATAAATTTGTTGGTGGTCAGAGTAAAGTAATAACGTAAAAAGTAGTAAAAGTAAGTAAAGTAATAATGGTCATTTAAGTATTGTTTAAAGTTTTTTTTAGTATCTTTAATTTCATAATATTTACAACATATTATGTACATATTTATGTAATAAACACAATCCACGCGGCATGGTGCCAAGAACGCTTACTGCATTTCCTCGCTGAATAGTTATGCTTAACCTTTGAACGAGAAAAGAAACATCTCTCTTATCACCAGCCGCGGCGTTAAGGTTAGGACATAAACTTTTGAAAAATTTTGATGTGCGGGGACCCCACGGACCCAAAGTTTCAACAGCAAATGGCACAAATACATAATCTAAACATAAAGGCTCGTATTTGCGCCATTTACTTCAGCTGCCAACGATGCCGTCCCGGCCCTGACTGAAGTACCCCTTAGATGAGAGGCAGCCAAAGTGTCTACACAAGTAGCGTCCCAAACAAGGGCTTTGCCTCTCTCCCAAGGGATCAAAGTTAAACCGTCAGGTCTCTTACCATCGTCGCGAAAAATGCCACAGAGCTCTAAAATAGATGGTGTGGGGTAAAGGTAGGACTTACTATACTGAGGCGTCTGGTTCGCTGATGCCACATTCACCACCACTTTGTCCAACAATGGCGGGCACGTGCCCCACAGTTATCGGTTCCTATCACAGAAATCACTTGCTCTTTTCGAGCTTTATTATTTTAACGCGGCGGTTTATGGATGCGGGATTATGATGAAATTCTCTTCTTTGGAGATATTCGCGGGGACTCAGGCGCACAGGCTTGTTATTGATGCGGTGATTGATCATAGACTGAAGGGAAGGGGTTAAGCGGAAGTAAGGATTCGACCAATGTGTGAATGAAAGAGTGATTAGCGAATGTAATAATTAGAATGCGTGTGTGCGGATGAAATGGCTAATCCATGGCTCCCCGGCCTTGGAGGAAACTCCAAAAGAATCTCTGCTGTAAACTCTATAGATTATCTGAAGCGTTTTTTTTATATATAAAGTAATTAATTAAATAATAATTAAAGATAAGCTAATTTGGACTAAAAGACTAAAAGTAAATATAAAAGTTTATTGAGTGGGAAGCGGACATGCGCGTATGGCTGGACGGACATAAGTTCCACCCTTAGTTTTAACTTTTATAACGCGATTGATGCCGTCTTTACCGGGATATACCTCATCTATTACGGCAAGAGGCCAGCAGAGGACAGGTAGTTTCTCTCCTTTGAGAACAACAACCTGGCCCTTTTGAACGGGGTTGTTAGCGGTGTTCCATTTTTCGCGGTTTTGTAAGGATGTCAGATATTCCACACGCTCGTTTCCAAAAGCTTTGAACAAGTTTATCAACTAACTCGTATCTTTGGAGGTGATTTAATGAAACATCTGAAACATCTTCAGCCGGTATATATTTAAGCGGTGTCAAATTAAAAAAGTGCGAAGGAGTTAAAGCTAGCGGTTCAGAGGGGTCACTACTTAACACACACATTGGACGCGAATTTAATAAACTTTCAATTTGTATTAAAACAGTATTCATTTCCTCATATGTTAGTATTTGGGAACCTATTAATTTCAACAAGTGCGTTTTGACACATTTTACTTGGCTCTCCCAGACACCACCCATATGGGGAGAATACGGCGGATTTATTTTAAATTCAATTTTGAGCGAGGTTAATTCCTTTAAAATGTCACGGTTGAATTAACTTGAACAAACGAAATTATGTAACTCACTAAAGTATCTTCTGGCACCTATAAAATTTGTGCCTCCATCACAAACTATAAGGGAGACAGGTCCACGACGCGATATAAATCTTTTGAAAGCGTTAACAAACATAACGGTAGATAAGTCCGAAACTAATTCTATATGTAAGGCCTTTGTAGCCAAACATACAAAAATACAAACGTATGCTTTTTGGCTTTTCACCCCACGTTTTTAGATAACGTTATAAAAAGGGGACCCATGTAATCAACCAGTCTTTGAAAAACATTTGAATTGAGTAACGCGATAATCGGGTAAGTTTCCCATTAATGGGGGCTTTAGTTTTGGCTGAATTTTAAAACAGTGATTACATGAATGTACTACTTTTCGAACAATATTGCGAGCTGATAATATCCAATATTCATGCCGTAATAATACGAGTAAAATACCAGGACCTGTATGACAGTATGCTATATGGTAATATTTAATTATGAGTTGTACTATAAAGTCTCTAGGCGGTAATAAAATAGGATGTTTTGTTCGTAATTTAAGGAAACAGCGTTTTGAAGACGACCACCTACTCTCAATATATCATTATTGTCTATAAAAGGAGTAAGCTTTCGAAGCCTTGCGCTAATATTTTTGGTTTGTTTTAATTTAATAAAGTCGTCGGAAAAATGTTTGTTTTGAAATGTTGCATTTGATTATATAAATTTCAGCGATATTCAAGTCTGTGACGGAAATAGAACCCGAAGTTTTAAGTTTTATGATAAAGCGTAAGAAATAAACAATAGATTTAATAAATTTGGACCATTTCGAAATACGGTTTGCTATAGCGTATACGGGATGCTCGAAAGT